ATAAATTAAATATGTAACATATTTTTTTTTATGTAATATATACTTTTAATAATATACTTTTATTAAAATTTTATAATTATTAATTTAATTAAATTTTGGATGATTTAATTACAATTATAATTATAATTTAAATGATTAAAATAATTAAAATATAGTTGATATTGATTGGTGTCCACAAAAAACTTGAAAAATACTTAAACTATTGAGAATAAAGGTTTTTGAGATTAAGTGAGATAGTGGTTGATAAGGTGTATGCTAATGCCCACAAAAAAATTGGAGAAAAAAACTCAACGGTTGAGGTTGCTCTATGAGCATCCACAATAGTGGATTTTGGAAGGTTTCACTACCGGAAATTATGCAATTTACGACCACCTGAAAGTGATTTTAAATCAAGTCGATCGAAAGTAAAAAGTGGTCGGAAATATCAATAAAGATTTTTCCGGATACCAAAAGTGGTCAGAACAATACTTTCGACTTGATTTAAGATCATTTTTAGGTGGTCGAAAATTTCATAATTTTTAGCAGTGTTTATGTAAGTTTTAAAGCATATGTGGACGAGAGAGAGTGTGAAGAGTTTTCTTGCAAAGACTTGGGTTTTATAAGAATTGTGAGACCCACCATGACCCACCTGGTCATGTAAAGCGCAACCACAACACCTAACCGGACGCGTTAATATGAAGCTTTTTATTTTTTTTTTCTTTCCAGATTTATTTAACATTTTTTTTTTCATTTTCCCCTTCCCTCCTATCTTTTCTTTAACCACTAATGGAATTGAACTCTTAAGATTTTAATTTTTGTTTTTTAAATGAGAAAAGAAACAAGGGCAAAGTGCCATGTTTTTCCACAACTAGTGATGTGGGCAATGACGGATCTTAGAGTTTATTAGTATTTTGTTCACAAGTTAATTTCGGGTTGTTATTTACTTGTTAGTTGTAGTTATTTCTTGTCCGTCCCTCTCACCTTATTAGATCAGATAATGATGTTTATGCCATTTTTTCAATAATTATTATTATTATTATTATTATTATTATTATTATTATTATTATTATTATTATTATTATTATTATTTTGGATGACGGGGGAAACCCGTAACCACTATTTGAGAGTTTACACGATTTCTCACTAGAAATAACTTGAGCGATGACAAGAATATTTTGTGCGATAGACTCGATTGACATGATGTTGGAACGAATTGAACTTGTAACTTTTTGCAGGTACGAGAGTTATATTCCACCCAATTGACCACCTCTTTTGAGCTACAATTCTATTTTTGGATTTATTAATTAAGGTGCCCATATGTTATAACTTGGAGAGTTGGAGTCTTATGATTCTTTACTGGTACCATATATAGTACATATTGTATTATCATTATGTCATTTTTTGGCATTGTGATCTTTAGGTTGATGACAAGAACTTCAACCTTTGGAATTTTAAGACTAAATCAAGCCAAAGATGTAAGTATGGTTTTGTAGTTACAAAGAAAGGTGATGGTTATCTACTTTTACCCAATCAGTATTTTGTTGTAGTATTTTAATATATATGATATGGATTGCCTTCATGAATCCTAGCCACGGTTAAAAATCTGTCTGTTTTGGTAAAAACAAACACAACATACACACATAGATATATATAGTTAATTTCCTTTACCACATGGTCCACATAGGATAACAATGATGCTGTGGATTTACATGCTTAATTTTCATGTTTGGAATTTATATGAAGACATTATGGTAAAGAGAGTCAACATTTATTATAAAGTCATGTCATTCACTACACCTTTTTTTTTTTTTGAGTGCCGAGGGAAACCTGTTACAACTATCTAAAGATGTGTATTAATTGGGTAAATCACGCATTGTGACTTCTAGGTATCAAAGGACCACAAGGAGTTAAACCAGCCTAAGCTTTCCACAGCTAACCATCTCAAACTAAATATATATATATATATATATATATATATATATATATATATATATATATATATATATATATATATATATATAGCGATAAACTACTCCCATTATCGAGTCAATCACCTAACCAACGTGGATGGGCTTGCTCCCAAGCCAAAACTTATGTAAGACTGTTTTGTGTAAGACGTGTAATATTTTTTTAAAACATAATAATACTTTTACAGAGATTTTAAAAAAATTTATATTTTTGCTAAAATATATTTCACGTCTCACATGAAACAATTTCACATAAAATCAACCGGATTTGATTTAACATCATAATTCTTTTTTTAAACGTTGGTGTGGAGTACCCTAAATCTTACTTGGAGAAATCTTTCTTTCCCCCAAAAAAATATGATACAGAGTATTATTTTTCTCACCAGACTAGAATGAAACTCTATCTAAATATTTAGGGGCGTTTGGTTCAGGTTATATAAGATAACAAAGGTTATATTTGTTTGGTAATATAAGATTCCAATGTTTAGTTCAGGTTATGTAACTTTTCCAGGGAATGTTAAATAACCTCCCCATTAAGTTTTTAGTTATTGGAAGAGAATGTGAAATACTCTCTAATTTCTTAGGTATTCTCACATTCCATTGTCTTGTTATTAATATTGAACTTTGTATTTTTTAATCAATTTATCTTATTACCTTGGTCTTATTTACATATTTTAATTTTAAACCAAACACAGAATCAAACATTCTCAGTAATTTAACATTTCCATCAATCTAACATTTCTTAAGGCAATCTAATATTTCGTGAACCAAACGCCTCCTTTAATGTCCCGAAAATTTAATGCATGTGTATTTAATACGCATTTAATACTTCGTCATCCGTTGTGAGGGGGGGGGGGGGGGTGGTGGTCATCTGACTGGCAACAGCTGGCACTGAAATGGATGCTAGCAAAGTACATTTTGCCTTGACCATTTACTAATGACTCTACTTTTCTGCCCTTTATGGCTCATCTTAATTCTTAATACTTAAGGCTGTAAAGTCTAAGTCATGGATTGGCCAGGTGGCACTCTACATACAGAAACTTGGTCACACAATGTTGAGATTTGGACTTCAAAAAATATGGTATAGATATATCAGGGCTTTAGTAAATAGTTATTAGTTGATTGAGTTAATGGATTTGACTAGTTGATAACATTAGCTGATTGTAAAAGATTGTTTGATAAATTAACTATTAGCTGATAGATAATAAAATACAAAATGACTTTTTCAAAAAGCTGATCGAATTTTGAATTTTAGTGTTTTGGATCAATAAACTATTACAAAAACCTAATTAATCAAATACTCATATTGGTTGTTTAACAAAGTTAAAAAAATAATAGTGATCAAACAAGTCAAAATTGATTGATATGCTTTTACTTCATTTGTTAATTCCCTGCAACTTCAAAAAATGTAATACTACCCAACCATCAACTGTAATCATAGTTTTATATATTTATGACCATCCATAAAACAAAACATGTTTCGCTAGATTTGTGGACTCATGCATGGTGCTATATATGGATTTGAGGATATCTTTTGTTAGACCACATAATGTTAGAATAATGTTGCTTTCCAGGCTGTAGTGGTTGAGAAGATTCCAAAGAGCAGAGGACTTATCTTGATTGACTTCTGACTTAGCTTGTTTCCCATGGAGCAGTGATAATGCGGATAATACAACTTTAATTTATCCTTATATTCCTTAATTAACACGGTGGAAAAAATAGTTATTGCGTTCTCTCACGTTTGGACTCTTTTATATGTGTATAGTGGGGTAAGAAGAGTCGGTACAGAATTTTTGAAATCTTATACACGTACAACTTGTGCCTGACTAAAAGTCAGAGATCCGATCGGAGTAAAGTAGTAATAACTAGTGCAATACTACATTTTGTACTTTTGAGTAAATTTTCAAAGAAATGTACACTACTCTTGTTTAGTCAGAAATCAGCGAGTAGAGCGTTAAGAAAGAGTGCATATATGCACTCTATACTTACTCGATTAAATTAATATATATATATATATATATATATATATATATATATATATATATATATATATATATATATATATATATATATATATGATTTTTAGTTTTCTACTGGCTAAAATTTAGATAAATGGAGTGTTAAAAGCGAGTCCACAACATTATGAATATAGTGGGCATGGCTAGTGCGGGTGGTGTCCTCCGTGATCATCAGGGTACGTGCATAGGATCGTGGGGTTTACTACAAAGATTGGCTACTTCACAAATAGCTTCACTGATTGGGGCCTTCCGGAGGATTTGCTCATTGCAAAAAACTGTGGGCTCGATAAGATTGTGGCCGAAATTGACTCAGAAACTATTGTTCAAGCCTTGAGTAAATATATGGAGTCCAGTCCGGAAGCCAATACGTTGGTTGCTGATTGCAATTTTCTCGTGAAGTAATTCCAAGAATCTGAGATCATCCATGTGTTTCGTGAGGGTAATCAATGTGCTGATTTCTTCGTGAACATGGGGCAAGAGAACCATTGGGGTACTTCGATTCTGATTCATTCATCAGACGATGTGAGAAGTATCCTTGAGCTAGCATGATGCCATAAACATCATCATTAGAAGAATTTACTAATCCTTGGGACCTCTCGGTCTCTCCTTAGCACCTAAAAAAACATTATGAATATAGTTGAATTTTTGGTCAAATTCGCCCATTGTTTGTTAGGCAATGCCAAAAAGTGAATGGACAAGGGAGTGCATAGTAACTGTTGGTGCCACATCATCTGAAATGGAATCATTATAGGGTTTTTTGGTTTATTCCATGGGAGTGTAGTAGGGTTTCCTTCACCAACTTGTCTGCGAATAATTGAATATGACTCCGGCTAATTTGAGATCACATGTCAACTCATCATCTAATTCAATATAATTCTCGTTCTTATCTGCTGTATTAGGTAATATATTCTTATCTTTATTAGATTCTCCGGAAATTGGTACTCACCTATAAGATATAGCAGTTTAATATAATTAATAAGTAAATTGTTAATACAATTGTAAAGTCGTAAAATTAACTTTTGCACATATGGCCCACAAGTTGAGTTAACTTCAGATTAATTTTATAATGGTACAGATAATAACAAATGATATACATATTCAAAAAAAAAAAAAAAAAAAAAAAAAAAAAAAAAAACAAAACAAAACAAAAAACAAAAAACAAAAAAAAAAAAAAAAAGAGGAAAATGAATTTAGTCTTTATACTATGAGCATTTTTTTTAGCGAAGTTATAATATAGTAATACCGCCTCCACTGAGACTCAAACCCACACAATTCCTATCCTATACAGGAGTGCAACCTTGGTGCCACTAGATCACAATGTCTTCACTTATGTTCCTCTTTAGAAATTTTACTTCACCTAGGCCAATAATAAAACTTTATTTAATATATTTCTCTTTTTTCTCCGATATTGCACTCTAACTCCACACTTTAGTGACTTGGATCGAGCACATACCACTAACCTTTATTACACTATTTTTTTTAAAAAAAATTGGTTTACATATATTTTTGAATTTCTACTTACTAAGTCATGAAGTTTTAGTGTTATAAGGATGAAAACTAAAAATAAAAATAAGAGATAAAATTATATTATTAATTCCGATCAACTAAGATTTTTAAAAATAACATTAAATTTTATCAAAATTATTAATAGAAATACCGAAAGCACCACTCTAGTAACAATTTATAGACTAGAATTTAAGTCATTTATCTCATCATATATATGTTTCATAACCTAGGTAAAAGATAGCATAATCTAAACAAATATTTTAAAAAATAATTAGAGAAATAGATGACTGAGTAGGTGGAACATAATTCTTATATCAGAATTCACGAGTTTGGTTGTTGCCAATATCTTTTCGATCGAGCCTGTTACACATGACCTTTCTAATGCACACTCACTACATACACACTCTTAGATAGTAATTTTGGATTTCTTTCAATTCGTAACGAAAATATAATATAAATTTTTTGAAGGGGCGGTGGCAATCCAAAAGGTATTTGAAAGAAATGTTGGTTTTCCCATTAAAGAAGATTATGGGTGGGAATTGAACCACATAATATGTTCAAATGATACAGTTGTCAGTTGTACCATCCCAGCATGCATGTATAAGTACGATGATGAGAAAAGTAGAAAGGGTTTGTGGTCAACTGGTCATCTTATTCTTATTTCTTGACCGTCCAAAAGCTCTGGGTTCATATAAGGGGTCTGTTGTCAACTGGTCTTCTTATTCTTAACCGTCCAAAAGCCCTGGGTTCATATAAGCCCCACCCAGCTGGCATTGTTAACAGTAACTAACAGCTTTTAAGGATTCTCCTAATCTTATCCATTTCCATATATTAGTGGTTATGCTGATCGGCTATATGACATACAGCGTAGATAACTAGGATCTTGCTCCCATTAATATTGTACTTCAATTCTCTGTTTTTTTTTTTATTAATTATCTTTAGAACTATATTAAATATAATGTCACACAAATTATATTATATGTAATGGTTTCTCGTATGAGACCTAATAACTTACCATTGGACTATTGAGAGAAATGAATAAGACAATTAAGAATGGTATATATAAATAAGACTTTAAGTAGCTAGTACGTTTTTATATCATACAGTTTTTTTATTGATATATAAGTAAATAATTGTGCTATACAATATCCTAGAGCAATATACTTATTCCTGCATAAGAACACGTTCTTTATAATTATGTGATTTATATTAGATAAACAGAGCTAATTTCACTATCTTCTATGCCAAAGGTCATGTTTTCCAATTTGTGACATCATATCGTTGGACATATTTGAGTAACTCACACGTTACTATATCTTAGATAATCATTCATAACTGTGTTTATTTGTCACAATTCATTCAAATTTTAATTTCTGAGTTGATATTGCTGGACCAATATCCCACCTAAAACCAACGTCCAGAATCGTGGGAACTAATGTACCTCGTGCGGTTCTGTCAGCAGCCATTTTAGCTGTCTATCAGCAGCGGTCCTGTTACGTTGCTGCTTCAGTCACAGATGTCACTGGGCCCCACATCCCAATACGCCTTTAATTTATTAATTAATTAGCATGCCTATATTATGCTTTTCGAAGAAAACTGTAAGCAATATCTAAGAAACTTATTGTCAACATATGAGAAATTTAATGTAAGCAATAAAAAATTCATTATTATTATTATTATTAGCATGCTTTCAACCCACTATTTTTATTGCCCTTTTGCTGCCATTTGGCAACAAAAGCTACTTTTTAAATATTTTATTAGTTTATATGTATTTATTTATTAAAAAATATATAAATTTATAATTGTAATGAGAAAGTGGGTCCATTTTTTAAAGTGAGAGAATATTGCAAGAATATAGGATTTACTTTTGAATGTGAGATGCAGAGTAAGAATAGCCTAAATACCTAATCCTTAGATCAGAGGTACATAATATTGTTTTACACTCATGACTCAATTATAAGAGATACTTTGTATAGAGAGTAGACAGTAGAGAGTAGACTGATTGTCTGTGGTGAAAAAGTAATTGCATATTCCAGTGTAAGGTAAAATAATTAACGCTGTTTTAATACAAATCATTGAACTCATTTGTTTGTGAAGTCAGGTATGATGCAAGGAAACCTTTAGGAAAGAAATGTTTTTACATTGGAAATTTACTAGAAACTTTTTCAAAACATTTCAAGATCGTGTTTGTAATTTTAAAAAGTTTGGGATGCGTTAAAAAAAATGTTTTAGGGGTAAAATTGAAAAAAAAAAAAAGTAAAGTCAATAGAAACGTAATTATTAGTCATTATCCTAATCTGTATTTTAAAAAAAAAAAATTATATAATGTATATGTATACGCTTATACTCCTTATAATGTATAATAAACTAGTAAAACTTATGCATATTTAAGAAAAAATATTTATAAATATGCACTTTTTAAAAAATATTTACATGTTTTCACTTATTTTTCTTATTTTCTAAAATTTTTAAAAATTTTCATTTCTCTCTTGTTTGGTAAAATAGTTAGCTTATCAGTCAATTTTGACTTATTTGATCATTATTAAATGTTTAAAAAATCATTATAAAGTGTTTGAAAAAACTTATTGCTCCAACACACTAAAATTCAAAAAGCTACTCAACGTTACTTTTTTGATAAGTTTTTTGAGAAAGTCATTTTGCATATAATTAACTATCAGCTAAAAGCTAATTTACCAAACATTTTTTTACAATAAATTAATATTATCAACTAGTTAAACTCACTAATTCAATCAACTAACAGCTATTTACCAAACATGACACCCGTATTTCTTGTTTTCTATTTTCATTTTCCGTGTTGATAGGTGATTTTGTACTGTCGTAAGTTAGTTATTGCTTCTTTTTTTTTTTTAAGAAAAAGAATATATTAATTTTTGAATTAGTGTTCAACTATGATGACATTTTTTATTTAGTGCATTAATTAATAATTTGCACACTGTTAGCTGATCATTGAAAATCAAGAAATATAATCATAGTTGAACCCTGAGTTTAGAATTAACTCTAAAGATATTGAATTGAATACTCATAAATTAGTTTTTTTTTTTAAAGACCAAATCATTGACTTTATTTTAATAAAACAAAAGTATGCTATTTTAACCCTGAATCACACATATACACAAATATATGTTCATGATATGACATTTTTATAAAACTATTCATTACTTTTCAATTTTTTAACATAACCAAAGTACCAAACTATAAAAATGTTTTTTTTTTTTTTTAGATTTTCTAATTAAATAATAGAATACTAATTTTTTTGTTTTATTCCTCACTATCTTCAATTTATTATTTCGATCTATCCCCATTTTGATTCCTCAATCTTCAATAATCTCCTTCTTCTTCTAAAATGTTAAATCCCAATCTCGGCCTGATAGTACATTTGGGAAGATGTAAATCATGGTGTTTCAATGAATCAGCAGACAAGGCCAAATGTCGGTGCACACAAAGGATCTGTCCATTTTGAGCATAATCCCCACCATGGACCGAGCCAATGGGGGCAGAGGGGTCAGCTGCCCCCTCTCACCCCACCCCCACCCCATATATAATCTTTGTATGTATATATGTATATATGTATATATATATAGTACATGTTTAAATATTAGTATATAAAAAACTATTAATTATCAATAAGAAATGAGTTAGATTAGTTGGTAGGCCATGTTTTTTGTTATAATAAAGGTTAGGGGTTTGATTCCGTTGGCTATTAATATTCAAATTAATTAATTATATTTTGTTATGAATATTTTTATAAAGTTTTGATGTGTTTTATTTTTCCTCACATCAAATAATATTTACACCTATATTTTTTAGGTAATTTATTTATTTATTTTATAAATATCTCTTTTATTTTAATGTTTCGCCTTTACTGAAAAAAAATTCTGAATTCGTCCCTCTCCCCTCTCCCCTCAACAGAATTCCTGGCTCCGTCCTTGATCCCCACACTATCACTACCGAAGTTCAAACCTTAGCTTCTTCTACCAAATACTGCATACTGAACCAGTGAGCTAAAACCCATGTGGGCTTCAATAATCTTCTTGGAGAATGTATTTGGAAGTCCAATCCAAGTCTAGTTATTCACTGGTAATAATGCTTTTTAGCTTTAGTACCAATATATATTGATAATATAAATAGTATATACGGTTATATATATATATATATATATATATATATATATATATATATATATATATGGAATCTTTTTATATATATATTGAATCAACAAAAAGAATTAATGGCTTAACAAAACGGAAATACAAGCAGGTGGGCTAACACCCCACGACCCTGAGACAGACAAAGAAACAGTCGTCCGAGCAAGCTCATGACCTACTTGATTCGTTGTTCTCTTGACATGGCGAACCTTAACGGTCCCTATGTCACTAGTAATCGACCGACATTGTTTAACTAACAACCCAACATACGAAAAATCCAACGAACAAGAATTGAAAGCATTACAAAAATTTAAACAATCAGACTCAATGATTATCATGCTATAACGCAGATCTTTCAACAAAGTGAGAGTCTCCTTGACTGCAAGAGATTCCGCCATGAACGGATCACGATCACACTGCAAACGACCACTTCGTGCTGCCACAAACCGACCCTCATGATCACGAACTACAACGCCGTAACCAACTCCGTCTGAAAGAACCGCAGCATCCACATTGCACTTAAGAGCACTGTGAGGCGGAGGTTCCCAGTTGGATGAGACGCCTCCAACACTCCCAGTACAAGTAGCGACTGTGAATGCCTCTTTCCATACTGCCTGCAACGCATGCACCTGGGCATTCATGTTCTGTACAACAGGAGTTGTATTTCTCCATAGAATATCGTTGCGCGTCTCCCAAACCACCCAAATGATGGCTGCCAACCGGACTGCGGACTCCACTGACGAGGACCCCAACACCGCCTCCATGAACTCCTGTAGGCACCGTCCTTGCAGAATGTCATCTACCGCCCATA